ATTATAATAAACAACTGTCATTTTTTTCCTTTTAGAAAATACACATTTTCAGCCTTTTTTCATACTTTGTTGCAGCTCAGTGTTTTCTGCTCTCCTGCAGCCACTTTGCAGACTCATCCTGTCTACTAGCACTCTAGCGATGACTGCATGAGATTTCTCAGGGCGGGTTTCCAGATGGTGACAAAAGTGGAACATGCCTGTGACCACGGATATTCATCACTGTGCATGTAAACAAAAGTGACAACGCAGAAGAATTGGGGGACACGGACAGCGTGTTGTCACCCTATAACAGGAAGAGACTAAAAAAGGACTTCTAGCAGGATCACCAGAAATTATTTAAAGGAAAGCTGCAGATTTTAAAATAGGATTAACAATAAGATTAGTAGGTTAAAACTTTTTGGAGACCTGACTAAGCCATTTGATAAAGAAGGAGTCACTGTATTGGCTGAATTAGTTGTGTGTAATATTATATACGGGGCTATGGAGAGCCTCTAAAAGCAGTGGTCTCAAGGTACGGGCCCGCGAACCGGTACTATGTGTCCCGCAGCCAGCTGACAAGTCAGGTACAAGGTCACGGACCACGTGCCTGACTTGCAGGAGCAGCTACATGGTCTGCATCTCCTTCGTATGCAGACCGCAGAGCTGCTCCTGTCACGGCAGGCACTCGGATCCATTCGGCTGGAGCAGACCTTACTAATAACCGCTAGATCACCAGGGATCGTGCCTCCTTCCCTGCAGAAAGGTAAGCAGGAGAAAGGCTTTGTATTTTATGTTATATTATGGTGTGCAGGGAGAGGGTTGTATTATTTTATATGTAGGGGGTAGTGTCATTATTTTGTGTGTATGTGTATGGGAGGGGGGGAAGTGTATTATTTTATGTGTGCAGGGGTAGTAATTTTTTTTTAGGTGTATGGGGGGGTGTATTATTTTATATGTGATGGGGTAGGTATTTTTTTTAAGTATATGGGGGCGGGGTGGGGGAGGCGGTGTAGGTTCACACATGTAGGTTCTGGTTCAATTAGGGATTCCTTGCTTTTTCCTAATTATTCCTAATTAGGAATGCCTAATCTGGCGTTTACAAGCGGCAGCTGTCACCCATTCAAGTTAATGATCAGGTGACAGCTGCTGCATGGAAATGCCTGCACACCACATCTATTGGTATGTGGTATGATTACATTTGGTTAGAAATCAATCAGTATATATAACCCTTTATTTATTCGCGCTTATTTATATCTCCCCCCTATGTGTGTAGTGACAGCTGCAGTGAGTAAATCAGAGGATGTGTGAATACTTCCTCTCATCAAATCAATTAAGTGTCCAAAAAAAAACCTGCGCCATCTGCCCCCTATGTGTATATCTAGAAGTAGATATGCACATAGGAGGCAGATAGCGCAGGAATCAATCAATCACTCTCCTGTGTGTCTCTTCCTTTCCAGGAAGAGACACACACACACTAAAAGGTGCCCATACACCTTACGACCATCGCAAGACTTTTGTCTTGCAATGGTCGTATGCTTCTTGAAAGCCCGTACGATCTGCCCATCTTGGATGGGCAGATCGTACTTGCGATCATCGAAAGCCCGCCCCGCTGAGGGGCGGGCTTCCGATGACGGCAATGCAGAACGGGCAGTGTGTGCGTGCGCACACCGGCCCGTTCCGCAGCTATCGGGCGAGCAGGCTAGAAACGATTGTACGATTCGTACGATTCTCGGCGGGTTTTCGAACATGTTGGCTCGACAAAAGACGTGCGACCGTACAGTAGAAACGGTTGCGCGTCTTAGTTCACACTGCTCGATTCTCGTACGATCGCGGGATTTCGCCCGATTCTCGTGTTGCAGTGTATGCAGTGTATGGGCACCTTAACATTATGGCTACTGAAAGGTGAAGTGAATATTTATTCTCTCGTTACAATGGCACCTGGAAGTGAGTGGGATATATGAGGAACACAGCGACGATTTTGACGTGCTGACTTGTCCTCCAAATTCTCCAGATCTGAATCCAAATTGAGCATCTGTGGAATGTGCTAAAAAAAAAAAAAAAGGCCAATCCATGGAGGGCCCACCTTACAACTTACAGGACTTTAAGGATCTGCTACTGACAGCTTGGTTATGATCAATATAAGTATACTATATATACATACACAAACACACGCCATTTTATAGGTCCTCTGCTTTCAGAACATGTGGTTTGTGGGGTTCTAGTGTCCATAGTGTGTGTACATGGGAACAATTGGCCTGGCAGGGGAAGGTTTAAAGTGCTACCTAAATCCAATACAAATGAGCCTTACCCTGCAACAGCTGGCCGCTAGTTCCAGGAGCCGATTGGGACAGTCTGCAACTAGTTCTTGGAAAGCCACCACGTCCAAGCCGTAATCCTGAAAACGATAAAACATATTACATAGATGATGAAGAACGCTCTCAAGACAAAACACGACAGATCGGAATTTTAAAGGCTGAACAATATTTCAACATCGGGAATAAAACTTCAATACTTTCTAATCTCAGACTTGAAACAAGTACTTAGGTAAAGAATTATGACTTTTCTCCTACTTTCACTTGCTGCATGCTTGTTCCACATCAGCAAGGAATGCAGACAACTAGCATTTTTCGAAGCAAACGCCTCTGTTTTTTGTTTTTTTTTTATAGATAATTTTTATTGATTTTTGCAAGTGTCCGAGACACAACAATGATAACAACAACACCATCACAAACAACAATTGGGTCAACATAACCCAGGCATTTACACATCAGTACACTCACTATGTTTGTCATGAGGTTACAAGGTTACACAAGTTACACAAGCTGTGGATGCAACATACCAGGTTCAAGACATGGTGATAAAGCTCTAAGATGGGTATCACAGAACATTGAGAAACCAACTCAATTACATATATCAGCCGACCCAAGAGTATCGCCTAGGACTCATAGGTCCAGGACTAGAGGAGGTGCGGAGGGCCACGCCCCCAAACGCCTCTGTTTTTTACTCATTGTGGGTGCACTTTCCAGCCGAACTTCAGGCAGCAATAAATGCAGTTATGCATTTTTACAATTGAATTCATTTTAATGGAACTAACAGAAATACCCGAGTTTGACTTGAATTAAGGTTTTTGTAATCCCCTGTAGAGTGGCAGGGGCAACACTGGGCCAATCAGGGTCCTGACTTTGCATGTGCTGACAAAGAGCATGTTGATAGGAGGAGTAGGCAGAGAGATAACTCCACAAGTCTGTTGCTGTTCTTTCACTGTTCAGCTGCAGACTGTAAGCAAGGCGATGGCCAAACATTGTTGCTTAACTGCAGCAGAGAAAAGGTCAGGTCACCACGCTGGCTGTGCTGTGATAGACCTGTATAAATCCCACGACTAGATAGGGAGATACACACATCTTTGGCAGTTAAGACAGGTCCTATATTGTACTTTAACTCCGAATTTAGCTGTAGGTCTGAAGTTTAGTTTCTGCAAATACAATGACTGGTATTCAGAGGCGTAACTAGAACCTTCAGGGCCCCGGTGCAAGAAACCATGAAGGCCCCCCTCACCCCCCACGGCACTGCATGGTTAACAGGAAGGCTGCCGAGGTCCCCAGCAAGCGTGGGACCTCAGGCAGCCGCTTGTTTAAAATTTTAGTGCCGGTGTTCTGTCGAGAACGCTGACCCAGTATCTGTGTTTATGTACAGACGGGATTAACGAGGAAACCGGCATTTATTTACAAAGTATTCGTTTGTAATGGTTAATTGTGACCGTTAATGATATGCCGTCCATGGCAGTAAATGATGGACGGAATATTATTATCGGTCACAATTAACAATTTAAAACGAAATACTTTGTGAATAAATCCCGGTTTCCTCGATAATATTGGTCTGTGTGTAAGCGCAGATGCTGAGGTCGGCAAAATCGACTAGGTCAGCGTTCTCGACAGAACACCGGTATCTGCGTTTAGTATCGGGCATTATCACGAGTACGAGTACTTGTGAAAATGCCCAGTATTAACACTGGTGTATCCCTACTTAAAAATATAATGCATTGCTGGGACTTGTAGTCCTACATAGTTGGAGCTATTCTGCATTGCTGTATAATCTTCATATAGCAATGCAGAATACCACCAACTATGCAGGACTACAAGTCCCAGCAATACATCATAATAAAAGTAAGGTATGCAGAATACCACCAGCATCCAACCACCCACCCCACCCTATAATGCATTGCTGGGACGTGTAGTCCTACATAGTTGGTGCTGTTCTGCATTGCTGTGTAATCATCATACAGCAATGCAGAAAACCACCAGCTATGCGGGACTATAAGTCCCAGCAACACGCACACACACACACTCTCTCTCTCTTCCGAGCGCCCCCTCCCACTCCAAACTTACCTTCCCTCTCTTGCAGGCCCATGCCCTCTTCCTCGTCTTGGCAGCCAGGGGGCGGAGCTAAGAGACTGCCTTCTTAGCTCCGCCCCTAAGAGGTGGGACCAGCTCATTCTCTGGGATCAGCGACAGTCTCCAGCCCTTTCGCACAGCCGCCCGTACATGCTGCGGGTGGCTGTGCGACAGGGAAAGAGCGGCACGATCGCCGGGGGGCCCTCTACTTCCTTGCTGGGCCCCCCCAAGTGGCGGAACGCCAGGGCCCAGTCGCAATTGCAACCGCTGCGACCCTGGTAGTTCCGCCAGTGCTGGTATTGCATAAGAACATGTCCAGCCAGTCATTGGTCATTACAAAAGCCCGAAAATATTTGGCTGCTTTTCATATATTATTCCACGTCTCACTTACTGTCCATCCTTACAATACATATACCACCGTATAAACCTTGCGATGGAGCTCACTTACTCTTGTTCTTGGAAGGATCTCAGGATCTGCTGGAATTCGACCAATAATCTCACACAGGACGATTCCAAAAGAGAAGACGTCAACCTGAACAAGGAATAAAGATAAATATAAAATGTCCTTATTATAATGTTTCTTATTTTGTGACTTGAAGGCTCAAACATTCACACTCCAGACCCCATTCTGCCTGTGCAGGTAGAATTCTGACTGATGGGCAACAACAAAAAGGTAAGACAGCTTAATTAAAAGGGCCAGTCCACCCAAAAAGATATTTTTCAATTTGTCTTAGATGCTAGAGAGTAAAGCTGGTCGTTCCTTTTATCTCTGAACGGAGTTCCTGGGTCGGCACACCACAATAAGAGGCTGCCTCTCTTCCTGCTGGGTTTTCATTCACACTATTATGAATGGAGCAGGAGGAGCTGGAACATACAAAAGGTGGGCTGGAAGTGGAACATACAAAACTCCCAGTTGTACAGATATATACAGTAAAGTCAGGAATTATGGCAGTGAGATCTCTCTGCTGGAGCATCAAAAGACATTAAAGAAAGCCACGGTAGACTCAGACCACCAGACTCCTCCTCAGGGCAGGATTTCCCACAAAGCCAACCGAGGCCCGGCCTTGGGGCAGCAGGGGTATGCAATTCCTATCTCCCGAAACCCGGGACATGTGCTGCTTTGGGCAAGCAGGGCTAAATGTACAGCAGGGAACAATTTACAGCTGCCGCTTGTTTTGTACAAGTGATCTCGGCGATGTCGTCGAGATCACTTGTATGCAGCCTGAATACAGGGGGGGCGCATTGAGGAACCTGGCATTGGAGCAGCAGAGATAATAAATCCAGCCCTGCTCCTCCTATAACCAAAATATCACCTTTGACTGAACTGAACCTTTAATAAATAACTAAATGTTCCATTTTCTAAGACTACCCCTACTGCCAACTGATATCCATCACACCATCAGCCAAATCACCAACTGGCTCATGTCCCAGGTAGGCTCCAATGCCAAGCTCTACCAATGAAGTCTCAATCATCTGGCTCAGACCACGAGTCTCCCTCTATAATCAAAATATCACTTGACTTACCCTTTAATAAAGAAATAATGTATCATTTCCCCAAGATCATCCCTTCTGCCAACTGATATTTATCAGACGAGAAAAATATATATCAAAGCGCTAAAGGTGTAACTAATATGAAACTTAGTATAACCAAGTGATATAGTGAAATTGTAGGTTTAGGCGGTCTAGCTCTAAAACAAGTGATATGTCTTACATAGAATCATAAAAAAATATATAAAATAAAAATAAAATTAATAGTACAATAGTGCTGTGGAAAAACAAAAAATGATTGGGACAATAAAAAACTTTCAACCACTGTGTAAAGACCTCGAATAGGTCACAATATATAAACGATCCGTGCAAAAAATATATATTAGAAAATTGGAATAAATTGGTCAACGAAAAATAAACGTAAAAAAACGTGTACAAAGGAAGTTGTTAATGATATATATTGATGGTGGTATATATATCGTAGCGGTGGTCCGACAGCCCCTCTTGGGTGGGTACTCACCAAATGGAGTTGGATTGAAGGCTTTTAGTTAGTGACACTTGAGCCTGCAATCGTGCTTTCAAACTTGGACCCAGTTGTTTTTACTCTCAGTCCCTGCAAGGTGAGTGTTTGGTTTTTCTCCCTTGTAGCGCTGGCTGTATCCCAGAAGTAAAGCTGGATCGTCTCAGGCGCAGTGTCAAACGAAACTCCTTGTCCTCATGGTGGCAGTCACTATATCACTTGGTTATACTAAGTTTCATATTAGTTACACCTTTAGCGCTTTGATATATATTTTTCTCGACTGTTGATAGGATTCTTCTATCCTCTTTTTAGAGCTGCTTTAGGTCTTAATTTATTATACATTTCCACTTTAGTCTCCTTTCCAGAAGCGCGGATTATCTATTTCTCATGATATTTATCAGACCATTAGCCAAATCACCAATTGGCTTATGTCATTGGAAGACTCCAATGCCAAGCTCTACCAATGAATTCTCACTCATCTGACTCAGACCACCAGACTCCCCCTATAAGCAAAATAGCAATTTTAAATGAACTGGCGCTTTAATAAATACCTATTGTGCCATTTTCCAAGACTACCAACTGTCAATTGATATCACACCATGAGCCAAATCACTAAATGGCTTGTGTCACCAGTAAATTCCAATGCCAAGCTCTACCAATGGAGTCTCTCTCATCCCGATAGTGTGAGACACCAGATCATGGTCACAGCAGGTTGAAGAAACTGATGAAATTAGATATCTTGACTTACCCCCAAGAAATATAAGAGCTCAGCAGGTAATACTGGAATCTACCCAAATTAAACATCACCTTTGAGTGGATGGCCCTTTAATCCAGTGTTCGTCAATAACAAAGTGTAGGGGGCCTCAACTGTGGCCCCTGACAGCTCCAAGAGCCATTGCTAGTCTTCCGTCATATAATAAATAAATATTATTAGAGACTTCGGATGTACTAGATGAGACAATCAGAGACTTCAGACATGCAACAAGGGTGGCTGAAGACTGAAGACACACTGCCGGAGATCATCAGAGACTCTTGACACTGCTAGAGATCACCGTCATCATTTGACAAATGAATGCTTCCACTAATGACTGCTGGGGTCGGAAAGGGCCACATATCAAATAGCACAGGGCCCAAAGTGGCTGTCCTTAGTTACAAAGAACAAAAGGAAACAACTCTCCTTTAATAGATTGCTTAAAGCACAACTCTGGGCAGCAAACAAAACACACCATTGAAATTGAGTGGCTTATAACTCCCCCAAATTTCCTGACTTTGCCATTCCCATTTGCATAATTCCACCCTTACTGTCTATTGGAGGGAAACGGAGGCTACATCATTTTTCATTTCCCATTTACCTTAACTCACTCATCTCATGCCAAAACAAATACTCCACCCAAAAACAAACACAAAAAAAACCCAATGTCTGATTGTATACCTTTTCACTTTTTTTTTCCTCCCTTCTCCCCATATATTATTCTTCCTTTCCAACATATTTCTACTCCTTTCACCTAATCTCATAGTAATTGCTGGAGTGTGCTAGTTGTTAAAAAATCTTTCCAAGGGCTCCAAAATTGAAATTGAGAGGCTTACTTTGTCTGCAGGGTTCATGTCGTTTCCAGTTCCATGAAAATTCATTGTTCTGGTAGGTAAGCAGACCTGTACCTGCTGAACCCTGGTACAGAGAGACACCACTTCTTAATAGATGTCCAAGTACAGCTCTAGGTGTCACCTCCCCTCCATGAATAGGCAGAAGGTGGTGTGTTGTGGTGACTTATGCAGCACAGGTTCAATATGGCCGCATAAAAAGTTGAACGTGGCTGTGACACGTCACATAACCACAACTTAAACCCAGCACTGACTGGTGGTAAACTAGGATGTCTAGTATCTACTGGTAACGTTTCATTAAGGCCGGACAACAAAAATGAAATTCTACATATCCTTATAACAACCTAAATGTGATACATCTTATATATAAACAAACCTTGCGGTCATATGGTTCTCCGCGTAGCATTTCAGGGGCCATCCAGAAGGCCGAGCCCACAAGCGACAATTTCCTTTCACCATTTTTCAGAGGGAGGTCCACCACCTCCCGGGCAAGACCAAAATCTGTCACCAAGGCTTCCCTCCCCCGCGGAGCTACCCGGATGAGGCAGTTCTGGAAGAATAAAGAAGAACTTAAAGTTAATCCCCAATATATATTATATGAATGCACAGTATGTATATCATTTTATCATAGGTTTTCATTTAGACCACCAGGGGAGGGGAGGTCAAGGGAAGTGTGGGAGTTGTCTTATATTAGTAATTAGAGTTCTGCTTTAAAGATAAAAGTATTGCAGAATTTACTATAGCAGTGCTAATATTCATATTTCCATCTTGGCCTCTAGGTGGAGCTCCATGTGGCTCCACAAAATATATTTGTATGGTTAAGACATCAGATACACAGGGAGTGCATTGTTTTCAATAATTTGAGCAACTCATAGACTAGTATTGTGAAAAAGAGCAGTAAAGCACAACCACTGTGCATCACTTCAAAGCAGAGCCTATGCATGTAATCAGCAAACATGGCTACCCAAGTTACTATATACACATCATGACAAATTATAAACAAGGAAAACGCATTCTAAACATTTTGATATGAGGATTTAAATCAAGCGTATGTATGTATGTATGTATGTATGTATGTATGTATGTATGTATGTATGTATGTATGTATATATATAATATATATCAAAGGGAATTTATCCTCTTGATTTACATCATGATGATTTTATCTATTCCTGAGCCGTTTCCACTGTATCCGTTCAGGAAAAGGCCAACACACATTCTATGGAGGAGGTGGCATTAATCATTCATCACTTTCCAGTTGTGAACTTGCACTTAATGAAAGAGGAATCGCAGTGTAGGCAGCATTGAAAATGCACATCATGAATGTGTGATCTGAAAGGTTTGTGAATAGGGAACGCTTTCAAAATCCAGAACTCATGTTCTGAAGTATTTTCTGAACTGTGACTGTTTAATCTAGACTGCTGCATGGTGCTGGCATAGGTTTTAGGTATAGCCAGTGATTTTTTTCTTACATATCTTTGGGCAGCATTCTGGCTAGCAGTGTTGACCTACAGTGCTGAAATCCTGGCTTCAAATCCCATCAGGACACCCATGTTCTTGTGGGTTGCCTTTTGGGTCAATACGTGCCCTCCTGCACATTAAAATCTTACTACAGATTGGAGAAGATCTCCAGAAAGCTGTGGTTATTTCAAGCTGCCCCCATCATGGGAGTGAGCTTGGAGCGGTGACTACTTTGTAACACACACAGGGCACATGGGGAACAAAAGTAGCCACCCTCCAGAAGGAAGGACAGTGTCGGCACCAATTCAGAGATGATTTGAGGATCTACAGCTGAGTGTTACACAAATAAGATACATTTTTGTTAATAGTTAAGGGACCTGAATACATTTTAAGATCTGACTCCTAAGTATAGTGTCATTTTAATCCCAAATGTGATTGGTTTTATTTATAGGACAGCATCTCCCAGCAGCCAACCAGATTTCAGCTTGCTGTAGTCAGCACTGCAATCCATTCCAAGGGGCTGCTATAGGTTTTTGCACATGAACATAAATACCTTGGAGTTGAGATCTCGATGGTAAATGTTCTTAGAGTGCAAGTAGACCATCCCCCTGCTGATGTCACATGACAGGTCCACTTTCTCTTTCCAGCTCAGAATAATGTCTTTGTTGGCAAGCAATTCTTCCAGGCAGCCCCCATTCACATACTGAGGACAGAAAATAGAAAAGAAAAAAACAAACATTAAACAGGTTTTTGGTTTCAGGTAGAGCATTGTCATTTAATGTAGGAGATTTTATATATATCCATGCTGGATTCCTAATCTTACATTATGCAGCATGGCACAGGAGGAGAAGGAGCACACAGAAGCGGGCAGGACTTAACTGTGACTGTTTAATCTAGACTGCTGCATGGTGCTGGCATAGGTTTTAGGTATAGCCAGTGATTTTTTTCTTACATATCTTTGGGCAGCATTCTGGCTAGCAGTGTTGACCTACAGTGCTGAAATCCTGGCTTCAAATCCCATCAGGACACCCATGTTCTTGTGGGTTGCCTTTTGGGTCAATACGTGCCCTCCTGCACATTAAAATCTTACTACAGATTGGAGAAGATCTCCAGAAAGCTGTGGTTATTTCAAGCTGCCCCCATCATGGGAGTGAGCTTGGAGCGGTGACTACTTTGTAACACACACAGGGCACATGGGGAACAAAAGTAGCCACCCTCCAGAAGGAAGGACAGTGTCGGCACCAATTCAGAGATGATTTGAGGATCTACAGCTGAGTGTTACACAAATAAGATACATTTTTGTTAATAGTTAAGGGACCTGAATACATTTTAAGATCTGACTCCTAAGTATAGTGTCATTTTAATCCCAAATGTGATTGGTTTTATTTATAGGACAGCATCTCCCAGCAGCCAACCAGATTTCAGCTTGCTGTAGTCAGCACTGCAATCCATTCCAAGGGGCTGCTATAGGTTTTTGCACATGAACATAAATACCTTGGAGTTGAGATCTCGATGGTAAATGTTCTTAGAGTGCAAGTAGACCATCCCCCTGCTGATGTCACATGACAGGTCCACTTTCTCTTTCCAGCTCAGAATAATGTCTTTGTTGGCAAGCAATTCTTCCAGGCAGCCCCCATTCACATACTGAGGACAGAAAATAGAAAAGAAAAAAACAAACATTAAACAGGTTTTTGGTTTCAGGTAGAGCATTGTCATTTAATGTAGGAGATTTTATATATATCCATGCTGGATTCCTAATCTTACATTATGCAGCATGGCACAGGAGGAGAAGGAGCACACAGAAGCGGGCAGGACTACCAGAAATGACAAGCTGCTTCAGAACTATGGTAGGGACATCTCTGAGTATCTCAGCAGACTAACTGTAATAGGTGGATCCCTAAAAAAATAAGGCAACAGGACTTGCTGTATTTCTCTTGAAGACGTTTCACAGGTCATCCGACCAGCTTTTTAATTGAGAATTACTTGTACAAAAATTATCTGGGAATAACTAGGGCACATGTTGCTCCAATCAACAATCTGTCTTATCATAACCAGCATAGGGTCAGAGACCTCATGGAGGTAAGATGATTGCATTTGCATGACTGGAGCTAGCATGTGTTATTCTGACCAGTGAGAGGTGTTAGGCAGCCTAATAACACTTGTTCGCTCCAATTATGCAAATGCAATCAACATCTTACCTCCATAAGGCCTCTGACCCTATGCTCATTCATCCTCCTCCCATGAGCTGGATGAATGAGAACCTTCACAGACATATTGCAACATATGTATTAGGTGGACTGCTCTTGTATAGCAAATTAGCAGAAACTGTTGATCTAAATATAAAAAGTAAGGTCAGTTTTGCACACTACAAATTGCTTTTACCACTTACTCCTTTTTTCCCCTTGTAATCTATTAGTCTGGTAAAGCTAAAAATAAAAAGTTCCGCTGAATCAGATCTGATCCAGAAAAATCTTTGCATAATCTCTGAATATCGTGTGCTTCCAATGGTGAAACTTAAATTCATAGATTATTCTTGTTCAGCCCCGTGGGCTAAACAAGAGTGAGAACCTTTGATTCCCCCATCCATGCTGTTTATTGTACTTTGACTATCCCAATACTCCAACAGAGACTGCATCTGATTGGCTGCAGTCACTGTGCAGCCGATAATTTTCAGTCCAGCTCCTTCAACAAAAGTTGATTGTCAAACGTAGTGGTGCTGACAGGGCCACCCCTTAGCTTAAATTGCTAGGACAGATATATATATATATATATATATATCCCATGTGACACCTCTTAACAGCCAGATAATTGCTGGAGGGTGTTATCAAGTGTAAGGTCCCTTTCACACAGACACCTTCAGTTCTGATATGGAGTGGATCCATGCATAGATCCCCTACTGAACGGAATAGATGTCACCATTATGACATCTGTATCTGTTCATTTGTTTCCTCCATCTGGCGATCGGAAAAAAAAAACAGACAATCACCCAACCCATGTTGGTCTATGGGGAGTCAAACAATAACGGACATGTGTCCATTTACATTAGATTATCCCTGACTCGGCAGAATCAGGTCCTATGAAATGGATTTGAATTTGTTTTTCTGGACCTAGCCGGAGTAGGGGGTAACCATATGCAAATGGACGCCTGTCTGTTTAGATCTGGCTGCCCACAGACTAACATTAGGCTTCCGATCAGATCCACCTGAAAAACTGACTGACAGACAGACCTGATCGGAATACCTGTGTGAAAGGGGCCTTACACTGGAGGCAGGACCAAGCTTATTACAGCCATACATATAATGAAAGCCAAACTCCACTCAAGACCTCAAGTAGGAAAGAGTTAGAATGTCCGTAACATCAGTAAAATTGCAACTCTACATAGGAAAGCCTGCCAACAGTAACAATGCAGATACTACACACTACTACACCAGCTTGGGTTTTATATGATCTACTGCAGCCAGGTTCAACAGACATTTTACTGTGCGACTGAACTGTGCAACCTCCCTTTCTAAGAACTAGAGGACAGAACCAGGATCAATGATATGCATTTCACAGGGTTCTTCAGAAAAGAAGGATAGAAGCAGTTATAGGTTTTCAGCAAGCAAGGGAGTCCGCTGTAAATAGGAACTGTTTACATCAACCAATGTGTGCTTTTAACTTCGCCTTATCACAGAACCTCCAATCAGTTGTGGCTTGGTGCTGGAGATTCTTGGTTGTAACACCTCAGTAGTGATACCCCAGGCACAGTGGCACAAAGGTGGTAATGGTGGAGGTGGTGAGGGGGGTTGTCCAGCTGCCCCTGAAGGCTGGATGCAGCCTCAGGAATTTGATGTGGCCGGTGTAAAAATTCTTACCTCTAGAATTGGATATAGTTTTTCATCTTTGACACATATCCCAAGATACCTGTAATGAATACAACAGATAGTTAAATTATATACAGATCCTACATACCTCTCAAAGAGCAATACTGTTCAAATCTGAGGCATCACAAATACAATTATGTTATACAAGATCTATAATAGGATTGTAAAGTATGTTCCAACCAGATTACCTCCGTCAGTATTTGCTAGTTATTAAACAAAAAAAGTTGCAGAAAGAATGCAAGAGCTTGTAAGTTTAAAAGAAATCCTATGCTTTGAGAAATACAGTGGCCATCATTTATGATACCTTCTGCCTATGGCTTCAGTACAAACAAGCATGCAGATTCACAGCAAATGCAGTCCAAACTTCTTACCTGTATACTTGTTACGGGTCAGTTTTAGAAAGTTCTGAAGACACAACGAGACTGACAGGCAGGTGAAGAGGCCAGCAGCAGACTCCAGCACAGAGCCAGAATAGGCAGTGAGCAATAATGGCTGCTCCCATGTATATTAAACACACACTGATAATATTATGTGAATTAGGCTGATCTCATTCTCATATCTGATCGATAAAGCATTAAAGCCTAAATGCACACAAAATGTTTTTTTCTTTTGGTTGAAGTCAGCCTTTAACATATAGTTCTTCTGCAATGCAGTAATCCTATTCTGCCACAAGATGGCGACAAAGAACCCAGCTAAACAATCTGCATTCAACTGGTGTCAGTGCTGAGTAAAAAGAAGACGCTCAATGTAAATGATTTGTAAATCTAAACATTTGCCTGAGGTGCATGTGCTGCCAGATCAGTTCCTGGAATTAACCTCACCACTTTTACTAGTGGAGTTGAAAGAAGCAGAAGAAAAGCAGCTTTAACGCCTTGTAATTCCTGCCATATAAATGGATCTATTCACACATAAAATGTATGATTAATATACTAGAACTTCCCCCCTAGTGGTGCGAGTGATGCAGATGTATCAAAACATGTCCTGGGTTCAATACAAAATGTGAAGCTGTCCAGCACTCAGCCCTACTATCCAACCAAGGGATCTATTAACCCATTTATTATTTATAATCTATGTGTAGATACCACAAGCCACATCAAGGTGCCTCTGTATCAGGCTACCCTTAACATACCAAAACTGACTGATTGGCTGCAGTCATGGTTTGGCTGTCAATTTTCCAGCCAGCTCCTTCAATATGCAGATAGAAGTTTGATGAGCCAGGTGGTGCTAGCAGGGCCTCCTACAGATTGATTCATAGCCAGTTCAGCAGGAAATGGCAAAACTCGATCTGTGTAGCCAGCTTTAGGGTTTACAGGTTAAGTGTTCTAGGGTGCAGTTTAAAAGCTAAACTTCCGGCAGACAGTACACAGGAGTAGTTTTACCTGCTAGACTACCAAACACAACATTTGGGTCGGGCCATCCAACTTACTGGCCCATTACGTACCTTCTTCCATAGCACTGGCTATATAATTATACACCAAATAACAGTATTTGCCAACACTGGTAGCCAATAGTCTAATGGCAAAACATTATTTAAAACACAAAAACAAATTTGTTATATTGTAGCTTACGGGTCTGTAGTAACTATGTAACAATGGTCCTGAAAATGTGATGGTTGCATTAGTTTTATTTTTTTCAGGATATGACATCATTTATTTATTTTTTGTATTACAAGTATTTATATAGCGCCAACAATTTACACAGCACCAGTGCACATTCACATGGGTCCCTGCCCTCTAGGAGCTGACAATCGAAGTTCCCCATCTCACATTCATCTCACATCCATACATACGAGGGGCAATTTAGATCAAAGACATGCTGGTAGGGTAAAATGGCTTCTGAGTATGGTAGGAAACCAGAGTACCACGCAGGAAATCCATGCAAACTCCTTGCAGATAATGACCTGGACGGGATTGGAACCAGGGACCCCCAGTGCAAGGCAGAGGCACTAACCACTACACCATTGTGCTGCCTATTTCTTACCTGCAGATCTTGCCAGTAACACATTTCCTGTCCTAGGGTGACAATGCTCACTCACCGTATAGTATCTATGCAGGGGCAGCATTGTTACCCTAGGGTACTCTCCTGTTTTGGACTAGAAGCACCTGCCTCTCTACTCAACTCTATTACATAGAAGGGAACTGTTTTGTAGCTCACAGAAGATAGCTGCGAAGGCAGCTTCTCGTAATTGTGTAAAGGATTACAGTAGAGTGAACAGTAAGTTACATGGATGCTGAAATTCTAGCAGTAGCAACAATATTTAAAGTTGTGTAAGTTTATAACAACATAGTAGCTTACATCTGGAAATATAAAAACCGGCCGGCACAGCAGCTCTGGATCAATCTAAGAGGACTCCTCGTGTGCAGTTGAATCTACCTTTTTGACGCGTTTCGTCATGTGACTTCTTCAAAAAAAGGTAGAT